TTCCCATGGGCCACCACCACGGGGGACCACGACCCACAAGCACTCACAAAGATCTCTGACGCCAGGACTGTGCCCTTGACCAACGCTTGCCCAAACAACGACATGATGGACGAGCCCAGCTCTCTCGTGTACGACATGAAGGTAGGATCCCCCGCAGACCCCAAAACAAGCCGTTTTTTGTGCTTGTCATCACCCGCTTGTTCAGCCGGACGGCCTACCAATCGTAGGGGTGCAGGGGGAGAGAGGGGGGATGAGGGATCAGTGGGTGGGGGGTGGTGTACATGGTGAATGGGGGTATAGGTTACACGTTTGTGCATGGCGGATCCTGTCACCTTTTACCGCACGGTGGAGCATTCCACCGTGCTTCTCGGACAATCTTCACCTCGCGCATAGCCGTCACGTAAGTCTCGTCGCCACCCTCGCACGGGACAGAGTCTTCACCAGGTCTCCTTCCACGTGCTTGCGTGCAATCCTCTCTGCAATATTCCGCCAGTTGCCCCCACGAGCGGGCCGCTTCACCATTGTCTTGTGGCGGTTCTCATAAGAGTTGGTGCTGTACTCGTGAGGCATGTCCCGGCTGCGAATGGCATCCGGGACGTGAACCAACTTGTGCACCTTCGGGAGACGCCACTCCGAGGCCTGGTTGGGGTAAGCCGTTTGGAGCCCCTCCACCATTCTCAGGTGCGAGAAAGCGGGTGTGGGTTGTGGGGGGTTGTGAGGTTTGGGGATCGCCCGGAGTTGATAAGGGTGATGGGTAGGGTGTGGGGTGTGGGGTTTGGGGATGTGGTGTGGGGTGTGGGGTGTGGGGTTTGGGGATGTGGCAGAGGAAGAAAACTCATGCCACATTCCCTGCACCACACACCCCACTCCCCTCACCGCACACCCCAAACCTTCGGGTGGAATGTGGGGTGTCGGGTGTGGGTTGTGGCACAAGGACAGATGGTGATTGCGGGCGGGTGTGCTAGCACGTCCCACAGTGGTGCACACGTTGCAACACTTACTGCTTCGTCTTTGTCTTTGTCGTCACCAACGTCGCATACTTGTGATACTCATGGCGAAACATGAATGAGAACCAGTCATGGAGCTGGAGCACGGATGCCCCAATCCGGGAAGGTGCCTGATGAGGGGTGCGACCTGCATGACCGCGCGATGCTCCGCCGCAGAGAAGTTCGTGTCTGCCAGTAGAGCAGGCTGCTAGGGAGGCAGAGCACGCATGATGGCGTGTGCTCCTTGATCCTCTTGAAATGCCTGTCACGATCCATGCAAGCATTTAAGGAGGTGACCGCGAGGGGGGAACTTTGAGGGAGGGGAAAGGGAGACCAATCAAGGGACCGGACTAAAAGTCACATGTGCACAGAAGGATGGATCAAACCAATGGGCATCAATACGTATCATGGGGTTTCAGGTCCCCCGCTCACGCAACGACGATCTTCCGCTGTCCGTCGGTAAGGAGCCGCAAGTAGCACTTCATATTGTGCAGCCAAATGCCCTCCTCGATCATGTGCATGGACTCAGGTAGCAGCGCCTGATATGGGTTGCCCATGGGGTATCAGCGTACCCCCAGTCCCACAGGAAGCACTGCAAGGGCACAACACACCAACGGGCATCAACGGGTTGTTGGAGATCCGTGTGCTATGAACGATGTGATCCGGGGGTGTACCCACCGGCACATAGTGCGTGGACATGGCGCTGCAAAGCTTGTCGCGTTCGGTCGAGGTAGACGCCTGCCTCATGGTCTCATGCAGATATTTTTGGTCCTTGACCGTGCATAGTGGTGCACTGGCATCCATGTCATGCAGGTTGGCCTGCTTGACAACACACTGCGGGCATGGGCGTTTGGAGCGGCTGGACATGATGCACGCCACCTTACATGACTCCGGGTGGTCCGCAACATACGCGTACAGCAACGGAATCACCACTTAGGACATCCCCATGAAGTCCTTGACCGTGATGCCAGTGCTGCAGGAGGCGCACATAGGATCAGGGGGGGAGGGAAACAATGGGATGGGTGGATTCTCTGCCATATTTGGGGGATCGCGCATGCTGTGGCATGTACAAAGGCTATGTAATGGGCCCGGTTGTGAAGCCCTGATGAAGGCCTCGACGATTGCCCTGACACAGCGCAAAAATGCACGAAGTCTCTTCACGGGATCCATGTCCGCAGGGAAGTTAGGGATCATCCCCACAAATTAAATCCCCCCACCCTTCCACGTCACGCTCTCGGGGCAGTTACTCAATGCCATCATGACTGGATGAGCCGTTTGCCTCCCATTGAATGTTAGGTTCGTCTGGTCAGAAAAAATGATGATGCCGGTGGGGAAGCCCCTCTTCTTCACCTTGCCCTGCACATGGTTGGATGGAGTAGCGGGATCTGGGGACGTAACGGACAGCCACTCATCTTAGCTCTCCAGCCACGGAGCTCGTGCATCCACATAATGCCACAAAAGACTCACCCATGCTGACATCATCCAATCCGTGTTGCCGGGAGTGCTGTACCGTCTCTCCTCCACCACCTTCCAATGTTTTGGCTTGACAACAAACCTAAGCTCAGCCGAGTTCTTCTTCCACATGCGCTTGAGGACCTGCCGTGGTGCACAGATGTGATGTAAGAGCTCAACGGGGGCTGCCTTACGGTGGACAGGGGAAGGGCCCTATCATGGACAGTGGACACAGCAAGAGAGTCCTACCTCGTCTACCGGTCTTTGGAGCACGGTGACGTACCCGACCTGTGGGTCGTCCACTTCCACACGCTCCTCGACCCACTTGAGATCCTCGCTCATAAGAAAGAGTGGACTGGAACCGCTCCACGTCACGATGACTCTTCCAATCCGCAACGTCATCGAAAGACAGCTTCGGGTGCTTCATGATGCGGAGAGTCTCCTTAATAGCCTTGTTGCAAAACATGTATTTTCGAAACAGAACAAACAGCTCGACCGCTGTCCGAAACTCCTCCTCACCGTCGTCACTAGATACTGAAGCCGTGGAGGAAAGAGGCAGGGTACTGGGTGACTCACTACCAGACACACTGTCACCACATGCAGGGTGCTCGTCCACTCCTTGTCTCACAGGGTCTCCCTCAACCAGTGGCAGGATAGACACTGAAGGGGCGACATCCTCCCGTTCAGGACGAGCTGGGGTGGAGCGACCTGCGGGCGTCCGATTGGGTGTGGTGCGCTTGGTAGGTGCATCTTGTTCGAGAAGGCACAGCTCATCACAGGCCTGGTGGCTCTTTGATTTAGCGTAGGATGCAAAACTTCTCTCACAATGGCCGCACTTGAACCTAGGACGTCTGCCGCGCATGTCGGCTTACCCCGGTCTCTCGAATTTCTCTTAGTCACCATATCCAAGGTGCGATCCCCGTCAGACTCACACTAAAACTGGCGGGAGCAGGGGTCAAAGATCCAACCGCGGGGGTGGTACACTCGGGGCATGTGTTTACTCCACAATGTTATAAACATGTAACACAAATCTTTCAGCACAACACTCGAGTTAGCTCCAAACGAGACAATCCATGATCTAGACTGAGATGCGTTCACAGGTCACCTGTTTGTCCCCCTGCACCGCAAAGTCAGTCGCCTATGGTCCAATTGCCAAAAATCTAGACCGGTCATGGCTCAAGCTCCATTTACTGCCAGAGAATATGCATCGTTTTTGGAGATTGACACAGAAGTGGATCTGCATGTAGAAGAGAAATATGCACGGCTGCATGCAGAGTCAAACAACGAGAGGCGCCAGGAGCGTAACGCCAACGCGCCCGATTCCCCGGCCGTTAGCCCAGGCCTGGCAGACAGGGTGCTTGCAGTCAACGGTCCTGGGTCGGCTGGAGCCGAGATGGCTTCCCGTAACAGAGTGCCAGTCATCCCAATGGATGCAACGCTGGTAAAGCGCGTCAAGTTACCGAACGACGATTACCGCGAGTTCTGGCGCCTCCCCTCCGACCCCGTTTTAGCGCCGGACAGCGAGGGTGAGCGGATGCTGATGTATACCGATTACATGCGCCCTTGACACCAAACCAAACCCCCCACCCCCCCTCCCCTTCGCCCCGCCGCATTTCCCCACTCCACCACCCCCATATTTCGTCGCCTTGCTCAAGCTGCAATCCCTAGTGTATGCCTCGTGCAGACCCCATGTATGGCAGAACATCCCTCTCCAGGTTTCACCCAGGATGAGTTGCCCCAACCGGCTCCTAAACGGCCCGCGGTGTGGGAGCAGGCCGCTGAACTTCTCCGCACATTCAACCGAGCGCTAACGGAAAAAGATCCCGAGACGGCACGCACGCTCCTTTGTCTGTACGAACGCATTATGTCCCGTGCCGACTGACACGCTGCCGGGCTGCCATGATGGTGCACCAGGGCAGATTCCGCATAGCGACTACAGAGAGGACACATCATGGTGCTCGCAAGTGTGCCTGATGCGGTCATGATGGACCTGAGATGCATCTCACCGTAGAGTTACCGAGCACATTGTACGTATCTGCAGTGGGGATGGCCGTTTATTAAACTGACCATGTGGAGTAGCTTATGCCATGTGCATAGCAGCCTTGGGACAATGTCTACCCAATTTGCCCCGTCTTAGACATAGGAGCCGTGATATTTGAGAGACATACATGGCAACATAACGCCTTCCTGATCCCTCTGGGGTAACATGGGGAGCTTTCATGGCACCTTATTGTCTCAAATGCTATGCCACAACGTATCGCAGTGTTGGCCACAAGTCCTCCCCTCACCAAGACTCTACCTCTCCTTGTCAGAGTAGTATATAGAATTGGGGATGGATGTGTCCACAAGTAACTTAACCATGTGGTGTGGACCTACCCTATTAGATTTGGAGCTGTGTCACATGCGGGCCATGCTTTGCTGCATGTGTCTCTAATGCCTGTATGGTGCCGCAATCACCTGGGCTGACTGCAATGGTGGATAGTACCGCGTTGAACAAGGGTTGAGTTGTGCAGCATGTTTGGTAGGAATCCGAAGCTGTGGTTCATATCACCATTCATATCCACAATGGGAAACGCTGCTGGCCAACCTACCATTGCCTAGGAGTAAGCAACAGCGTCTACTTGTTTCGGCAGTAACAAGCTAATAACAGTAACTGCTCCCTCAACCCAGTCTCCTCCTTCCTCCCCTCCCCATACTATTTGGGAGTCATGGCTGCTGCATAATGGCCTGGTCATCTAGTGGTTGACCATCACCAACGTAGTGACGACACACGCTGCCCGAAATGGGAGAAGTAGACGGACCACATGACGAGATGGATGTGTAGCTCCTCTCACCACTGGTCAGGGTGGTCGTAAAGCTTGATACGGCGTGTATACCTGAAGTTGTGCTCGACGAGCACTTGCATGAACTTCATACAGTACATGCCACAGTCATGGGTGTTGGGCTGCTTGGGCACCTGGAGGGAGGGCCGGTAACGCGCACATCCTCATAGGAACGTGTGCTGCACTCACTGCCGGAAGGTGTCCTCGAAGCCCGCATGCATGTTGTATGAGTCGGCGTGAATGAGAATGCTTGGCTCGGGGATTTTGTCTGCTGGCTGAACATCGTTCTTGATCACGAATAAGCTCCAATGTCCCCTGTGGATGGGTGGAAGGGATGGTAAGCCAACGATGGAGTTGTACTTGATTGCAGCGCCCGTTAAGGCCGCATTCGACAAGCAGTTGCTACGTACGCTTCATGTAGAGGCACTATGACGTATTGAAATTCCATGATGCTTTGTCCGTAGGCAAAGTTCTTCGACTTGGTGTCCTGGTCCCGCAAGACATAGTTGTATAAGTAGGTCGAACAGTATAGCCACTTAGGCCGGTCATTTTGATGCCTCTACATACGAAGCCTACGACAACGGCGAGCCGACGAGGTCAGGTGGGTGGACGGTAAGGATTTGGTGAGTGTTAACAGCACGACCCATCAGATATGGAGTAGCGAAACAGAGAAAAGGGGAGCGTAGCATTGAATCTAGTGGTCTAACCTTGACAAAAATGTTCGGTACGAACAGGGAATGCAACGTCGTCCAGCTGAGAGGAGAGAGGAGGGGGGAGCGAAGAGAGGTGGGGCCACGTCGGACGTAGATGGAGGTCGCGACGAAATATGCATGGCTGCGTCATGGAAGCGCTTGGTTGGGAGATCGTTAAGAACGTGAAACATCGACAAACGTCTCAAGGTGCGGGGGTGCTCGCTTCCATGTACTTACATGCCAAGCCACTCGATCACCTCTCCCGCAAGCCATTTTCCCAGTAGGAGGGAGTCCGCCTCGTGCTTAGTGACAATGAGTTTGCCACCCTCATAGAAAGGGTACGACATGGTGAAGTCTACGAAAGCGTGCGCCATCTCCCTAAGAGTAAGCTGTCTTAGCATATTTTCTGCAACAACAAGGCCCACCATTCCGATGTCGGCAAGCGCATTTAGACTCCGACCTTTGCTAGCAACTAAGCCTAACAGCTGAGGTTGCCTGCACAATAGACAGGACATGCCCAGCATTGGGTTAGAAACAAGGTGGGAGTATCGAGTGGTTGGGCTGGTACGCATTAGTATTTGAGTTGCATATCAGCTGTGTACATTGATGGTGAATTAGCTTTAAGCCGACAATACTTTCGCGATCTGTATAGTTGTTCGCTGGGGGCAAGATCACTTATTCGCCAACGAGTTGGTTTTGTGACCTAAAGGGGTATGGCGAAATGTCCA